TTTCAGAAAACAAACCTTTACGGTAAGAAATAGCGATAATATTGTATTGGTACCTATGTTTTATTCACGCCTACACAGTCATATGAATAGCATATTTAATTACTTATTAGATAATCTTTATCAAACTAACTAGCTTAGTTGAAGTAGCTATTATGATATCCAAACGATCATTAAATAGTTCAGGTGCCGATTTTACTTTGATTTATCTCAGACAAAATAAGCACGGATTATAAATTAAATGTATTCAATTGTTGGTATGCTAAGTAAGTACAATATAGAATACTCAAAATTTAGACCAATATATTAACTTCAAAAATTAAGCCAACGTATTTTTTAATAAAACTCACGTGATCACTTGTGTGAATGATGGTTGCTTAACTACATAAAACCATGGGGTCAAAGCCTTAAACTAAATATCAGTACTTCATGACACACTTTTCTGTACTTACGTTGACCAGCAAGACGAGTTGTAAACGACCTTACAGAACTTTAAAATTTATGAACATCTGAGTCCTTATTAGGTTCCTACACACCACAAATGAAATATCAACTAATTTTTACGAATATTAGTAGCCATTTATAAATTCTGTGCTGAGCAATGAATGTATCGATTTTACAATGATATGTAATTTTTATTTTTTTTTTTTTTTTTTTGAAGTCATCACTTTATAATACATTCATAATAAATATATAATATTATATATAGTAAAAAACATAAAAATAAAATTTTGACTAAATTAATTATATTTTTTATTTAAACTAATTTGACATTAATAACTATTTAAAGTTTTATTACTTATCAAATTTATACAACTATTATTACTTACACGAAGTTAGGTATAATTTATAAATAATTATATTCTAGTTACCGCTATAACCTTTATAGGTTCTCCTTATTAATACAATTTATTAAAAAGCTTGTTTTAAGTCCATCATATTATAATAATTGCTATTTAAAATTCAGTAGACTTTCACAAAATGTATTAAATATAAGATATAAACTATAAAGTTACATATTTTTAAAATAATAAAACAACTTAATGAATTATTAAATCGCTAAAATATTGAACATAAAATATGAACATAATCTTTAACCAGGCTGTGTAAATAAAATACATTATAAAATAAAAATCGAGTTAGATATTTAATAATATATAAATGCATATACTCGTATTATAATTTAACCTTAATTGCAAAAATAAGTGGATATAAAAAAATTAATTGAAATTAGTTAAAAGTGAAAAATAATAAATTATCCATTAACCAAAAGATAAATTAAATGATATTAATAATTGTTCGCACTAATAGTGAATTAAAAAAAAAAATATACGTGATAATATAATGACAACGGCACGCGGTGTTTCCAAGCGAATAACTACGCCCGGACGTTGCTGAATTTCAGTGATCGGACGAGAACTGGTGTATTCAACATGGTACGGTCGTTGACATTTATTATTATATACATAAAATTATTTAAATGTGATAACTAAATAAGATATCATTGGTAGGTAAGTTTAGTATTAATTATTTTAGCCAGAAAACTGAATTTAATTCTATAGTTAATCCTTAAAGTTAATAGTTATTTTTTTAGTAAGATAGCTAAAAAATATTGTTGCTGTGCTTTAATCAAATAAATAAAATCAGTTTTTAGTGGATATTTAGTAAAAATTAATGTAGCTTCCTTAATTGTTACTTTAAAATAATTTTGTATCTACACCTAATTTAAAATCGAGTATAAGCTCTAATTTGCTTAACTGATAATTTAAGTACTGATTTATTGAACTGATTGCAGTAGTAGCAAGAGCAAAAAAAAATTCTGAGTGCACCAAAACTTAACAAGGTCTATTACAACATATCAGTTGCCAGTATCCCTATAGATATAAGTGTAAACAAAAACCTATTTGGTTGCCAACTTTTAATGTTTTTATGTTAATATGCTATTATCATCGTAAATTACCAAGGCCAAAATTATGATTGGGCTAGTGGTTGGGTGATTGACATACTAGACATACTACAATAATTCAATATACTATTCCGTCACTTCGTTTGTAACATAAATTTATTAATAGGAAATATAATAGATAGGTAGAATGTAGATTGTACACAAAAATTTAAATTTAAATAAATAATGTATACATTTGGTGAGAATATGATATTTAAATATTGTATATAAACTATGCAAAAATATATCTTTTTTTATAGAAAAAAATACTAATATAAAGTTGAATATAATATAGCTATAAGTTATTGTTGTTTAGTTATAAAAAAAAAAAAATTGTCTTAAAAATAAATTTTATGATTATATTATGTTAATTTTTTTGAGAATAGATATGAAAATGTGTGTTTATTTTAGAGATCATTATAGTATACTTGGTTTAGGTACTAACCTACATTATAATATTAATCGAATTATTAGTTTCAATACTTAAAACCTAAATACATTAACATTTTAAATCGATAATGATTAAATATCAATTTATATATGTTACGGTAAATGATGTTAAATGGAAATTAACGTTATTCACCGGTTATTAACGTTATTTACCAAATATACAGGTAATTATCGTTATAAACTGGATAATCACGTTAATGACCAAATACACAGGTAATTAATGTTATAAATCAGATAAGCGCATGAATCTCAAATACAACAATTTGAAAAATTATGTAAGTACCCAGATATTTTTAAAAATAGAATAAATGCATTATTATTTTTTATTTATTTTTACAAGTTTTACTCCCATGACATTTAATATAACATAATTTTTCAGCCCCAAGGTATGCACAATGCTTATTATTATTACAACTAGTGACAACGCTGGTACCTTTAAGGGTTTGCAACCGAATTATTACTAGCTCAGTGTCAACTGCCTACCATCTGCTAATTTTATCACATTGTCTATGTCTAATAGATTTTATTTGCAAACAGCTATTTTTGGCATGTGAAATAGTATTTAAGAAAACTATATTCCGTACTTATAAAATAATAAAACAAATTTTAATTTTAATAGTATATTTTTTCATTAAGAATTAACTAACAGAGTTTGTATAAATCATGTTCAACTTGAGTGACAACTGATAGTATATTTTGCATAGAACCACGAGCTCTATCAACGTTTGGTATAAATACACATACAGTTAAGCCTATTTCAAGCTGAGGAAACTTTTCTTTAGAAAATTTCATCATTTCCTCTCCTTGTTTTTCTAAATTTTTTTTTGAATTTTTACATGCAATACAAATATTTTCTTGACAATCATCAAAAAAATATTTAAAATAATTTTCAAATATTTATATTTTAGTTTTATTTTTGTTATATTTAAAATTCGGAAATTTATCGTTAAATAATTAAAAAATATTTAAGTACCAAGTTCCGAATTTTTTTCTACGATTTCTATGATTTAATTTCCGATTTTGTCTTCTTTGATGATTGGTTCTTTGGTTATTTTTTTAAATCTTTCGCAATAACCTCTTTTATTTTATAATCAGATCAAAATTTCCCTAATCATACGGTTATTAACGTTATTCACTAGAAAATAACGATAATTCCCACATTCGTAGGTAAATAACGTTAATAACCGGCGAATAACGTTAATTTCTGATATAACATCATTTACCGTAACATATATATTACAATTGATTATCCTTAAACCTTAAACAGTTTTGTATGGAACTAGGTGAGAGTATTCTTTAAGGCTATTGTCTATTGGAATTTGGAAGAAACAAGAGTGGAAGAGGGATCCGTGCTACAAAAATTGGAGGTGAATGGTGACAGTAGTTTAAAAATTAACTATTCATAATTTTCATGCGAAAAATTGAAAAATTAAATACGGCGCTACTATTGCCACTGCATATAAGTACAATACTTAGAAATAACAGTATCTATTTAATTTTTTTCTAAATTTACATTTCAAGCATAATGAAGTACATTTTAAGTTGAAGTACCTAAATTTTGTTACTAAGTTACTAGGTACTTTAAATTCTCGTCGGTAATACGTAACACGAACTTTTCTTTTCTTTGTATATTATAACAAAATATATTGTAATAAAAAGTACTTTGTTACACGATTAAAAATAATATTAGGTACATAATTATTATACATAGTAGGTAATTATTAAGTGAAAATAAATACGTATAAATCACTGTGACAACATTTTTGTTTATAAATTTCTATTCAACTTAAACAATTTGTTTTTTAAAACAATAAGTTAACAAGTATTTACATACATTATTGATAATTTATTAAAATTAATAATTGTATAACTATTTAACTCTGTAAGTACTCCACATAAAAACTAAAATGGTCAAAAAAAAAGATACAAGTGCCTATTACATTACTATTAATACTATATAAATTACTAATATGCCATTTTTCAGATTTAATTATAATTTTAAAACTGTTTATATATAGATAAAGTTAAATGTACTACGTTATTGACTTCGATTTCTATGATCAATGAACCGAGGGTTTCAAGATTTATGGATTCTTGGGTACACGACTCTTCTCCACTGGACATAGATTTGAATAATGTAACGCCAATTATTCTTCCACCACTAATTTGGTTGGAATCAGAGACGATACCTTTAAAAATGTCTATTCGAAATATAGGAATGACATGTAGGTACTAAAAAAAAGAATTACCGACTAAACTAATAAGTAATAACGTTAATAATAATACTTATTAGTAATAAATTAATCATAATTATATTTTATATTAATTTTAGTATCAACAGAGTATTGTATATCATAAATTCATAAAATATATTGTTAATTTTAAATTCAAAGGTAATGTTGATGCCGAATATTCCGGACCAAGACCTTCGTTGAATGGTTCTATATTACAGTATCCATACGAGTTTTCAAGTTTTCATTTTCATTGGGGCACTAAATATGACAATGGTAGTGAACATCGTATAATGGGAAAATGGTAACAAAATAATACAATTATACAGTTATTCGTTTGATTTTGCTTATGACTATTAATATTCATAGTTCTCCTATGGAAATACACTTGGTGTTTTATAATATCAGCTACTCAAATACTTCCGAAGCCTTTAACGCCAAAGATGGTAAATTAATATTGACGTACATGTGTAAAGTATGAAAATACTATGGTATAATACATTTGGTGTCATTGATAATAATACATTTTAAGTTGGATCGTTATGAAAATGCCACGTTGGACAATTTGACGTCAAATTTAAAAAAAATTATTAAACCAGGAGAAATAATTGAAATTGATTCGTTTGCATTATCAAGTTTGTTTGAAAATGATTTACAAAATTATCATATGTATTGGAGTGCATGTGAAGAAATTCGTGAAAATACAGTATTATGGATGATTTCTTCAAAAGAAATTTCAATTAATGAAGCACAGGTTCGTACAAATTATATTAAAATTTTATTTTTATTTTTATAATAAACCAACTACAATAGTGTTGTCATGAACACATAGAATCTCAATATTTTTTTATTATACAATTATTATTTTTATTATATTATTTTATATTTGTTATATTTAAACGGGTAATGCCGAATTATAAGTTTGATAAGTAGTTATAGTATACACTATACAGTTAGCTATATGATTTTAACATTAAATAAAAGTATCATAAATAATATAGCAATAAAATAAATAAAATTATATAACTTAATGTTTAACATTTTAAATAAATAAAGCAATAATTAACTAAAAACATTATTTAAATAAGAAACAAAATATTGAAAAGAGTTATTACTTATTAATATATATATCATCATTAAAATTATTAAAAAGTAGCATTAAACTATTAAAGGGGGGCAAAGGGGCATTAAAAATCTATTTAAGACTATATTTTGAGCGCTGGAGAAGCACATAAAAAGTAATTAACTGACTATCATATGTAACATGAAAATTTAACCTAGCGAGTAACTTAGAACAGTTTTAAATTATATATGTATATATATTTTTTAAAATTATTATGTGTATATTATTTTTTGATCGGTGAAAAAAAAAAATTAGTAAAATTATCATATAATTTAAAAATAAATTTAGTTTAAATAATATATTATTTTAAATTTAATTCATGATGTAACTACATTAATCATTGGTACCATTGTACATAATAAATTTATAGTGTGTATTATATGAAATACCTACAATCAAAGGTGAAAACAACTTTTTTGTTTTTCAAAAGAAAAAAAATAGTGCATAACCAAAATAGAATTTATTATAAAATATGCAACTGGTATTGTTCACATTATTTATATTTGTACTGATTTTTGATAGTTATCTCGTATGCGATCTCTAAAAGGATTTGATAAAAAGCGTATACTGTCAAATTGTCGATTGGCAAAATTATCCGGGGGAAATAAAGTGTTACGCGTGACCCAACATTCAGTGGATCAAAAAAAAATTCAGTTGGTGGAAGAAAAGAACAATATTGCATTAACAACACCAGAAAAAATGGATATGCCAGTTATTGTGGTTAAAACAAGTACATCTGCGGAAGCAATGCCAAAAAAACTGAAACAGTTACCTAATAAAAGCAACATTGATAGTGATACGGTCAAAAAAGATGTAATTATTTCGGTAGTTACTACCACTCCAATAGTGACTCCGATAATGACAAATGCAATTCAATCTAAAAAAGATACAAAATCTACAAAATCACTTGATTTAGAGGATCAAAGTAAAGATGTTGAGCACATTTTGAACTTTACGAAACCTTTCTATTCAAATAACAAAGAGAAAAATATACTAAATGATCCGGAACTAACAAAGAATATAGTTATGAGGTTGGTAAGCAATTACGATTTATCATTATTATATTTATAGTAACATTTACTTATCTCTAAACTTATATTCAATTATTAAAAACGTATTCAATTAAAATTTTATTTTAAAATAGAGATGTATTGGTTAGGGTTTATTTTCTTTTAAATAGACTAAAATTGGTTCTCAACAAACAACTACAAAATCATCTATTAAAATAAAAAAATTAAAAATTATAATAAATTTTTTCTATTTTATCTGATATATTTTTATTATTGACACAAATAGCTCTATTGACAATCTTATACTCGATTTAAAAAATGATGATAAAATAGAGTTGAAAACTTCTCAACGGCCAGAGGTACAGAAACCCCTTAGGGAAGGCGTTCGAATGAACACTACGGCTTTAAAAAGAGAAATGCATATTAAAAACAAAGATTTAATATCTATAAAATCACATGATCTTGAGAATCAACGTGAAGAAATGGATTTGGTGTCCGACAATTTCGAATCAGTTTTGAACCTAATGCAACCTTTAGATGTAAATAACAAAGAAAAAAACATATTAAATGATGTAAAACCGACAAAGGATATAGTTATAAGGTTTGACAAAATTATTATTTTTATTTCCATTTATAATAAATTGTACATGTCCTTACCTATTTTCAACTAAAATTAGATATGAAATAGAGATACAATGAGTAACATTGCTTTACGGATATAAGTCTAATAAATAAACATATTTTTTACACCCACCTAAAATTTACATTATCTAAAATCTTAGCAGTCAACAATCAAATAAATATAAATAATTAAAAAAAATAATAATAATTGCTTTCTATTTTATCTAATATTATTATTCTTAATTATAGCTCCTTAGACAATATTATCCTCGATTTGGTAAACGAAGATAAAGTGGAGATTAAAGCATCTCAACGGCCATCTGTAAAGAAAACCCACAGAGAAGGAGTTCGAATGAATGCTACAGCTTTAAGAAGAGAAATGCATATTAAAAACAGACAAAAAAAAAATATTGAGAATATGAATAAAAGAGAGCATAAATTTTAATTTCCTTCTTATGGAATTGAACGTGTATATATATTAATTGATCATATTCAAGTAATAACTTATAAAAATAAAAATTTCTTAATATTGAAACGTATAATCATTTATATTAAAATATAGTGAATATACGATCAAAATATTAAAACATAATGTATTTAAATATTTCTGTATTCTTATATTGAGTAAATTTATAATTTCTTAAAAATTTGAACTTAAAATGTCTAAAAAAATAAAATATTATACTTATATTTTTTTTTTAGATTTATTGGTTTGAAATGTTTTGAAATGAGTTACTTACGATCAATTTTGTACGAAATCTTCAAACCTTGCATATAAAAAAAGTTATGAATTTTTAACTATAACTATTTATATAATTTTAAGGTTTTACAAATTTCTAATTTATAAATTCTAAATTTTAACTTTAAATGCTTATAATATATATTATGACTATATTTTATTTTTGATATTTTTTAATTTATGTAAGAACAATTTATAAGAAATTTTGTACTACATTTTTAATTCGTTTAGTATTATAGAAATATATATGAATATATAGAAAGGATAGGTCCAAACACTGAGTCCACTTTATTTAGTGTGATACTTGGTTAAATATTTAGGAGAGACATTGAGACAGTAATAAGAAATATCTCTCTCTTATTAATCTTTTTTTTTCTATCGAGCGCGTAAATGACTTTCTATTATATAAATTAACATTTCTTTTTTTTTAAGTTAGGAAATAATAAATTGTTATTATTTATTAAGGTTTTTTCAATGTCGTGCGATTATAATAACCACAATAAATACATTAGATGTAGGTACAATGTCTACAGTGAGAGGTAATTTTTCAACCGATTTATAATGAGAGAGTTCTATGGTCAAACATACATTTGCAATTGATAAAAATACATTACCTGTAGGTACATTTTTTTGTTTTACATGAGTGATGACTTACCTCAGTATGTAAAAATGATGTTAGATTAGTATTTACATAATCATCCTAAATAAATTAAAAATTACTTGTAGTTTTATTTGATTTTAATTTTAAGAGGATTCGGTATCAATAACTTTTAAGGAGTTAAGTGTAGGCAAATTCTTTATTTGTCGTGTAAATATGTGCGTATTGCGTACCAAGTAGTAGATCATTAGTGAGTTAAGAATAGTGTAAAAGAAATATCGGACAGCTCTCTTTATCAATGGGTAATAATACGTTATAGGAGTATTATAATTATTTAGCATTTTTTTTTTTTTTAAATATAAATCTTTTTACCAATTGTATTATCATGAAACTTATTTGTCCGATAAATTATTAGAAAACATTGGACATCATCATGAAATTTACTTTAAAACAACTTACTTTTTAAAATTATAATTTTTAGTTTAGTCTAACCATAGTTATCAAAAAGTTTGACTGTTTCCGATCAGATTTTTTTTTTCTTTTACGATGTTAAAATTTAACACATCCATTACAGTGACTCAATTAATTACGAGGTACACATGTTGTAGAAATGAAACTAGTTTAGTTCACATTTTAAAATTCTTAATATTTAAAATTTAAAAATTAAACTTTGATGGGTTTAATTTTTTAAAAAAGCATGAAAGTTATTTTTAAGTAGATAAACTCTGTGAATAACTTAAATAATTTTTTCAGAAGTTTTATCCTTTTACTAGTCGGTATAACTAGCATAAGATTTAGATCTATTTTAGTAGAAAACCCAGCTGGAATCGAATTCCTTTAATTTCTGACAATATGCATTCACTAAATATTACAAATATTATAGTTGAAAATGTAATTAATGAACCACATTTGAGACGACAACCACATATTCATTTGCAATTTCCAATGGAATTTTCGTGAAACCTTAAATTGTTTTATTCGAATTGTAATTAGTTTATCAAGAAATTATACGTTGGCATACCTATCTATATATATGCTCTCGTCACGCATCGTTTGTAACCTATAAAAGTAACTAAATTTCTATTATTTTTATTTATTATGCCATTGTTGATATATTAATGTTATAGAAATTTTCTTCAACATACAGCGGACTGATAAACCAAGCTGCAATAACTAATTAACTAATAAATGTGAGTAATACATAATAATAACAATGTGATGATTTGGTAATATAATATAACAACAAAATTTCAGGTGTGGCTTGAATAAGTTATTCATCTACTGGGTATCGAGTACACAAGTCCTAAAAAATTTTTAAACTAATAAAGATAATTTTAGTACAACAGTACTTACACACGAAGTAATAACACTTAATTTTCACTTCGAAGTTGGTAAATGAAAACCAGCCTTCAGTTACAACTTACTATTATTATAATAATGATGTAAATAATTAAATCAATAAATTGTTAACTTGAGCTTTAACTAATGCTTATTCAATTTTAGTTATTATAGTTCTTAAAGTTCTCCTTATTTGTTTAAATATCAAAAATTAACTAATTATTATTATTTGTTCCATTGATAATATTAAAAAAATATATTACATATTTTGTCTTTTGAACTATCATTAAGTTTATGTATTTAATTCGTAACAACTTTACAATAAAAATAAAAATAACGAATTCATAGTAAATTATTATCAGGTAGATATTTTATTTTATTTCTTAATAGTATATTCTTAAATGTATTTATAAATTGTTTATACTTGCGTGATTCTTTTAAACGTCTAGACACGACGATTAAAAGTTAGTATCTATGTAATGTACCAATTACTGTCTTAGTGCCTATACATGTATCAATCTATCTGTTCTACCACGTTTGACGATAAATTTGCCAAGATAACGTTACCTTAAAAGGCAAATAAAACTATAATTCACAATTTTTTGTTTTTATGATTCGTAAATTATTGATAAATATTTTAATATTAATAAACATTGAAACTAATAATAGAAAACAGAAATTTTTGTACCTATAATAATATTTAGTTATTATCAGAATTAAGGACTTATAGCACTTATATACTTTTTTATATTTATTAGCATTTAAATGAGCACATAAAAACATGAAAATAAGCAAAAATGGCAAAAAAAATATTAATTTTAGCCAGAAATCAGTAATGAACATTTTTAAGAAACACTCAAATAATTAAAATTAAAATAAACATTAGTAGATTCTGCTATAGTTAAAATGTGATAGTCCATAATAATTTTCACTATTAATAATAATAACAAGGTTAACTGTATTTTCTTCACTAAAATCGATCACTGAAAAAATTCTAAAGCTTACGTGATACAGAAATAGATAGCGATAATTCACAGTGCAGATTGAAAAGTACTGTGTTAGAGCGGTATATATATATATATATATATATATGTATTTAAACGGTTAATGACCTCATTATAAATACCATTAAATTGTTAAGGTTCTACCTATAATTATAACGGACGCTGAGACATTGTTTAATAGGTTATTTTGACAAAATATACTAAATGAAATGAAACAATCTTCTGAAATTTCTTGGTGTATCAATTTAAAGGAATGTATATACATATATATACACAATAAATAAATTTGTACCAACATTTTTTAATTTATTTGCCATTGTTTATCTCGAAATCAATCTCTCCAATAAATCATAGTATTAAATCAATCAAAAATAATTTTAACCATAATTCTGATGTGATTTATTTTTATATTGTTAATTGTTATAGGTTTATAACAGTCTATAGATTATTATCTATATAGTTATAGGTAATACTAATATACTCAAAGTTTAAATTTATTGTGTTCTTATGTTTTGAACAATTCAAATGCAAGTATTAATCGTGTTGAAAATGTATGAATACAATAAATATATATTTCATAAACGCAAAAAAATATTATCTTAAAATGATAAGAAATAAGAACCTATAAGAATTAATTTTATTAAAATAATAATAAAACCAACTTTATTAAAATTTTAGTTATTTAATTATTAATTATTATTAATTGAGCATTAACAATTATATTATAATAAATACTTTCAAATTAAATTTAAAATTTGAAGTCCACAACATTTAAGAAATCTAATTTGATTTTTTTTTTGGTTTACTTGTTTATATTTGTGAGTTTTCATTCATTTCATTGTAGTTCTTAAGTAAACTTCTGCTAGGTGTTATTTAAATATTCACTTCAATCTTATAATAAATTGATGAGTGTGGATATAAAATTGGTCATCTAAATAACAGTAGCATGATTCTGGACCTTCGGTAAGCCTTGACTCGTTCGGATGATATAGCTTAGTTCAGAGACGTGGTGGATATTTTCTATCATTTTGAATACAATTTGTTATAATATAATCAGAAAATAATGGTATTTTTTCATTATCAGAAGCAATAGAAAAAAGTTTAAAAAATGTACGAGAAATTTTAGTAGAAGGTAAAAAGCTAATCCTAAATTCCTAAAAAAAATACTTTAGCCAATGTGAAATTTCAAATATACTTTTATCGCATTCAATTTTAATATCAGTGTAGTTATATCAAATGATTATTAATTGTTAATAAAATATGATAAAATAATATTAAATTTCAACTTCACTTGATCACTTTTGTTTTTTGAAACAGAAAAATACACTTTACTCGAGATCTGAATGTAACGAGCGTTAAATTTAAAACTGAACTTTGTAATGTAATGGATATAGTGCAGGTAATATTTATTTTTGCGCTTATATCCCACTACTTTAAGATATAAAGATGCAAATCAACTTTGCGTTTTTTGGGCTACCGAAAAAATAAACGATTTACTTTTGGAGTTTATTTTGGTGAACAAATTATGTTTTTATAGGTATGTTCATTACGAATTCGCATGATAACGTCATAACATCCAACTACGTTATAATTTATATAGTATTAAAAATGCATTATCAAAATTATATCAGAAATAAGGAAAGTGTGTAAAAACTTTTTTCTTTTTTGTACAGCAGAATTATTTCTATACTGCGTGCAATAAAATAAAAATAAATATAAATAGCGTTGGGTATATTGCATGTTTTCGTGGTAAACTGTAATCGTCT